ATTTCAGGACTGATATGTTTGAGTAATATGGGTGGTGGTTGGTTGAGTAAGCTGTCAAAACAGTCTGCTCTCCCTGAATATGTAATGCATAACAATACAGCACAGTAATACTATATAAATTGGATGCTTATGAAAATTCATGGGGGGTGGGGGGGCCTTTGACAGCCACCAAGTTCCTGTCCCCCTTCAAGGCCACTAGAGAAATGGTGGCCCTCAGGTCAATTCAGGCATGATCATGGAATGATGTCTAGGTGTTATCATTTTAGATATGATAAGGGAGAATGTGTAGGAGGGGTGACAGCAGGAGATGCATACTTTTGACGAGTACTCTAGAACCTATCAAATGAACATTGCATTATCAAGCATAAATGAAACTATATTAGTTAAACGTGAATGTAATGTTAAGAAATGTAGAGGTATAGAATTCACTTTCATTGATAATTTTAAAATTGTGTTTAGAATAAAGTTTTTTCATGTTAAACTATGCTCAACTGTTAGTAATTAAACTATTTAGCAACAGATGTTGTTCGTCTGATTTGTGGTCTCCCACTACCATATTGCCAGCAGGCACAATACACGACCCACTGTGTGCACATTCCCTCTTAGTCCTCACCTAATCACTACACTTAATCTTGTGACTTTTTTGTCTGTTACACTTCACCTGTGTCAATAGCATTTTCAGTCAATACTTTGTATTCTTCTAATATTGTACCATATACTCTACAGTAGTGTAGATTTTTACTGCTCTAGTTCTTGATTTGTTATGTTTCTTGCATATAAGCATTTGCATCTAGGTAGGGTAAATGCAATTAAGATGGCATCTACCCTATCTAGATGCAATTAAGTGCCTACCTAGATGCAATCTTAAGGATAGTGCCTACTCTTAAGATGCATAGGGTAGGTACTGCTACTCTCTCATACTATATTTAACCCCTGAAGTGCACTAAAAAAATATTGTTACTGTTCTTTAAAATGATACTTTTGCATGCAAAAAAGAGAATTACACAGAAAAAATATCAGTCATTTTGGGTAGGCATCATTACTCCTTTTGCAGCATTCTGGTTCCATCTCATTCTATCTTATTCATTAAACCAGCTTTTCATTTCTCTTCCCCTTTCATTCTCTGACTAGCTCTATTCTCAGCTGACCAGTCACTTTTAGCACTCTCACTTTAGCACTTAGTATTACGGTAATTCATTGTGTTGAACGGGCAGCCAGTGTATACATATATGTTAGGCTTATATCAAGGTCACCCCCTCCCCCCTCACAAGGTCAAATTACTGACACTCCCCAGGATGCAACCCCATAACAAGGTGACTAACTCCTAGGTATTGCAACCAACCATTTCTGTCCTGCCCGGGATACGAAACCTGAATTCCCGTTTCTGTTGGGCGGGGTTGCGTTGGTTTTTGAGACTCGGGCAGTCTCGGGAATTTTTTCTTCTTCCAGGGTGGCGGTGGAGGCCTTCGAGCCTGTTCCTCCAGCCGTGTGTAAGGGTCTGACCAGGGTCTGTCTTACGGCTGCCCCGGCTTTTTCTTGTGAGGCAGGGGCTTGTGGGGGACGACTCGACCCCGGGTCAGGCTGTGGTGGTTCCCGGGGTTGGGGAGGGGTTGCCTGGGGGGCCTTAGCCCCGTTTGGCCCCGTTTGGCCCCGCTTGGGGTTTTTGTCCTCTAGGAGTGGGGTTGGCAGTTCCTCTGAAGTGGGGGTTTATTCCTTCCCCCTCTGTATTCCTGTTGTTTCGGGTCTACCTCTCCCCAGGTTCGGTTCCGTGTCCTTTGGGTCCGTCGGTTCCATCGTTCTTAGAAGTGCTTTCACCTCTTTCCTGCTTATGTGCCTCCGTAAGATTCTCGAGGGTTCGCGACACTTTGATTTTTCTGATATTATTGGAACGTCTGCTGACTTCCGGTGTGGTTCCCTCTAGTCCCTTCTCGGACTCGTTGGTCCTCTTCCATTCTCCTTGTTTTCTTTCGATTCTCTTTCGCCTTCTTTTGTATTCCCTTCGTCTCTCCTTCCTGTCCCGATGTTCCTCTTATTCGTTACATCCTCTTGCTGGTGTGTGTACAATATGTGTACATATGACTGGTGTATGAACCGCGCCACCGGAAGGCAGGTGGTGCGGTTCATACCTCGGGCGCAGGGTCCTGGGTGATCGTTTTGTTTTTTGTCGATGTACATGTTTTTCCATGTCCTGTCTCACGATTTTCTACGCCTTTTCAAGGGATGGGTGCGGACTCACGGGTAACGCTCAGCCAATTTTCGGGTTTGATGCGGGTGGCGTGCTGGGCTTTATGACCTTATATGCAAATATTCCTTTAGAGAATTCTATTATGACCAATTTGATATTTCACAATTTCACTTGGAAAAGGTGAAAAAGAGTACTGTATAAACATTTTAGTGCGGGTGCACACTCATGGGAAACACTCGGTCAACCTTGGGGTGTGTTGGGAGTCGTGTGCCGGGCTGGGAAAAGCGGTAATGAGTTCATGATGGTGGAGGTGTAACCACTAGGGCGTCCAACAGCTGGGTTGACAGTGCTTTGGATTAGTAGTCCTGAGGTTCCGGGTTCGATCCCTTGTGGAGGCGGTGACAAATGGGCAAAATTACCACGGAGATTTACAGTCTCCGTGGTGTAGTGGTAAGACACTCGCCTGGCGTTCCGCGAGCGCTATGTCATGGGTTCGTATCCTGGCAGGGGAGGATTTACTGGGCGCAATTCCTTAACTGTAGCCTCTGTTTTAACGCAACAGTAAAATGTGTACTTGGATGAAAAAACTATTCTTCGCAGCAGGGGATCGTATTCCATGGACCTGCCCGAAACGCTACGCGTACTAGTGGCTGTACAAGAATGTAACAACTCATATATATATAAAAAAAAAAAAAAAAAAAAAATGTTTCTTTCACCCTGATGCCCCCTGTTACCTAGCAGTAAATAGGTACCTGGGAGTTAGTCAGCTGCTACGGGCAGCTTCCTGGGGGTGTGTAACAAAAAGGAGGTCTGGTCGAGGACGGGGCCGCTGGGACGCTAATCCCCGAAATCATCTCGAGATAACCTCAAGATAACCCATCCTCCCAACTAATAGGTCACATTTTTTAAATTATGGAAACCAAAGTTGCAAATGTAGCCTGCCATGAAAAATAACGGCTCACAGATACTGTATGTTCATTTCTATGCATTGGACTTGCTTGATAGGTTAGGTTATCTTGAGATTATCTTGAGATGATTTTGGGGCTTTTTTTTTAGTGTTCCCGTGGCCCAGTCCTCGACCAGGCCTCCACCCCCAGGAAGCAGCCCATGACAGCTGACTAACACCCAGGTACCTATTTTACTGCTAGGTAACAGAGGCATAGGGTGAAAGAAACTCTGCCCATTGTTTCTCGCTGGCGCCCGGGATCGAACCCGGGACCACAGGATCACAAGTCCAGTGTGCTGTCCGCTCGGCCGACCGGCTCCCGGTCAGCCGAGGTGGGTTGCTTCGGTTCTTATGCTTTTGGTTAGGTTAGACGGTTGGATTATTTACAGAGAATGGGCTGGGTGTAAATAGTATGTAACTTTTACACTGCTCCAAATGTCATATGGGATTTTTTCTGTACTATTTAATTTGTTAAATTTTTTTTAGTGAGGTGCACCTTGATGTAGTACTTTTAAATAGCTGTGCAGTTGAGGTGTTAAAGTTACGTTGTGGGTGTTTTGTCGAAGTATAATGATGCTGGCTCTACATTATGCTGCAGTGTATAGTGTGGAAGATACGGCACATGACAGTGCTGGTTCTACATTATGCTGCAGTGTATAATGTGGAAGATACAGCATGTGACAGTGGTGGTTGTAGGTGGTGATGCAGTATGTAGCCAAAAAGATGTGGCATGTGACAGTTCTGGGTTCGTGTGACTCTGCATATGGAGTGTGCATGATATGGCAAATGAATAGGATATCATTTTTGGTGTCTAATCTTGGTTTTCTCCACTGCTGTATTTATTACTGACAGATAACTCCCTCTATTGTTAAATCCTTGTGACGGGTCATTTTTAACACTGACTGATGAATTTGTCTCTTATTTCATATATTCTTTAAATTTTATCTTCTATTTGTCTTAGCGTTTGTTCAGTGTAAGAATTTCATCTTTGTATGGATCGTGACAGTGTGAGTATGGTGATGTGTTAGCTTTTCTCACCACACAGGATGATTCAGACATGTTTCTAATTGTTTGTTCATTTTTGTTGTGTTTGGTTTAATACACATACAGAAATTCAATCTCCTATTTAGTACAGTATACTTATTTCTTGTGAACAACTGAAATCCTATTTAGGCCTGCCGTTTTCATTTTTAGTACTTTTTCTCTTGTTTTTTTATGCGAAAAGTTCCTCTGCCAAAAATTTTAAAACCATCTTTTGTATTTTAACCAAGGAAGAAAAGCATCCTTAGTTCCTGTAATATTTTTATGATCTCTAGTTTTGAAATAAAAGGTTTAGGCTGAACAAAATTTAAAAGGAGAGGAAAGGTTGCATTTAATCCTGTATATAACCACAAAGTATTGGTCTGAAAATATAAGTACAGTAGTTGTTAGCTTGTATTCTTCAAAGTTTCATTTGTGTTTCGGATCTTAATTACCGGTATGCTTATTAGATAAACTTTCACATTCTTTTAAGTCTACAACATTTTGTTATTTGTAAGCATTAAGAGTTTTGTAAGTACAGTAGATCTATATATTTTGGGATTACACTTTTTTTAATTATAGTAAAACAAACCATGACCTCTAGTACATTAGAAAAAATAATGTACTTAATTTATGACTTAAGTTAGAACTATTTTTATATGTACAAATGTACTTATCTATGTAAAGTAGTGGTTACAAAACGCTAGGCTTACAGACTCGGGAAGGAATAAATGATCCCAATATGTAAGAGAGCTGTCTTGTATTCATTTATGTTGTGAAATGGATATATGTTTTTAGATTGACTTCCTGTGCGTATGTTTTGGGTGACAGCCTTGCATTCCATTGCAGGCTACCAGCCAGTGAGTGGGCCCATGCCGGTTAAAGCGAATTACACAGCCGCCACCTCAGACGGCTCCAGTCCCTACAAGGCTCCCAAGGGATCACCAGTGGCAGCAGCTCCCCCATATTCCTCTCCTCCTAGACTTACTTCTCCTCCACTACCTATAAAAGCTCCTCCCAGTCAATCTGGTTCTGAACCTTACACTCCACCATACCAATACCCAACCTATAGCTATCACCCTGCTCCACCACCACCACCACCACCACCACCTCCGCACGCAGCGCCCTATGACAAGTACTATCCACGGGGAGCAACTTACCAAACTTATCATTTCTACCCTCCGACATATTCCGGGGGTCAGTATGCTGCCCCGGGTGCCGAATATACGTATCCGCCCCCTCCACCTGGTGGTGTTCATTACTCGCAAGAGAGCTATACTTCCTACACCCTGTGTGTGCCCAACCCACCACCTCAGGGACCCCCTCAGGCACTAGCACTGCCTCCCCCACCGCCACCCACATCCAATGGCCCTCACCCTCCTGCGTATGCCACATATCACTACACGGAGTACACACCGGTCTTCACGTATCCTCCCCCGGGTACGATTGTTAAAATAAACTTCATAGGTGTGTTTTGTTTGCCCTGTTTGTTTGTTATAGATGCATGCTATAGGATATTTTGTGATTGTCTTGTGCTTTTTGGCTTGTGCTTAGTTACACTTACTTATGCTTAATCTTTTCGTTTATCATTTCGTACTGTGCCATAACATTGTTTTAGCTTTTAATATTTTATGTATTCCTGAAGCATGGTTCAAACAGTTTCATAGCATAGACATATATAAGTCTTAGTAAAAAAGCTCATTGATTTTATATATTTTAAATTTTTGTTTATAATTTTCATTGAAAGGTTAGATTAAAAGCCCTTGCTAACAGGTCATTTTGTCTTTTTACAGGGCCCTCATCACAGAGTACAATTTGCTGTCCAGTGGATCCAAAAAACGTGCATACTTGGCCCCCTACTGGAAATGGTAGAGGGTCAGAAGCTACGAATAGTGCAAGCCAGTGCAGTAGCATGGGTCAAGGCACAAGCCAGTGCAGTAGCATGGGTCAAGGCACAAGCCAGTGCAGTAGCATGGGTCAAGGCACAAGCCAGTGCAGTAGCATGGGTCAAGGAGCAAGCCAGTGCAGTAGCATGGGTCAAGGCACAAGCCAGTGCAATAGCATGGGTCAAGGCACAAGCCAGTGCAATAGCATGGGTCAAGGCACAAGCCAGTGCAGTAGCATGGGTCAAGGTGCAAGCCAGTGCAGTAGCATGGGTCAAGGTGCAAACCAGTGCAGTAGCATGGGTCAAGGTGGGGGTACAGGATACCAGTACCAGTATCACACCACACAACAGCCACCCCATCCTCCCCCTAGTGGAGCCCCACAAGGCTGTGGTGCAACTTCGGTATACCACTCCGGTCCTCTCACTACCGTGATGACCACTGGTACTCAACCAACCATCCAGGTGTTTGGTACTGTTGTGCCACAACAAACAGTAACTACAATGCCATCCCAGGATTCCCAGGCAGCTGCTGCCCCTCCTCCCAGTGCCCCCCCACCAGTGCCTGCCCCAGTGCCTCCCGATGTGCCTCTCTCTCAGCCTCAACTTGCCACCGCCACAACCATGGTGTCCATGGCACCAATCACTGTTACTGTGCCCATTAATCCTGGAACTCCTCATGGTTCTCAGTCTTTGGCACCGTCAGGCAGCGCTCAAACACAAGCAAGCACAACCATTTCTGAGGTTGCAGATATTACCTTAACTGTACCACAGTTAACAACATCTGTTGTTTCTGGAGTTATGCAGCCAAGTGTATCAGCTGTTCGTGTTATGACAGCTGTTTCATCTGAGGGGCCTCATCCAACTATACCTCCCTCAAGGCCTGAAGCAGGTGTTGTATCAGAGGCACCGCTGAATGCCACAGCTTCTGCACAAGTTACCACTGCTGTTGTCACTGGCATTTCTCAATCAACTGCTGGCCTTCCAGGAGTTAACACAGCTATTGTCACTGGAGTTCCTCAGTCAGTTTCAGCATCTGCAAGATCTGCTTCAGCTGATGTTGTAGCTTCATCACTGAAATCTGCTAATATTCCATATGGATTATCTCTGCCGGGTGGCACTCAGTCACAAGCTTTAGTTACTTCTCAAGTCTCCAAACCAGTTGTAAGTCACGTGCAAGTTGCTTCTACTGCAGTCACTAGTGCACCTCGGTCCACTGTGGCACCTACACAAGCATCTACAGCTGTTGTCACTGCAATACCTCAACCTGTTGTGGCATCCTTGCAGGCCACTACAACTATAGTCACTGCTATACCTCAACCTGTAGTGGCACCTACTACTGTTACTACAGCTGTAGTCTCTGATCTTCCTCATCCTGTAGTGGCTACTACTCAAGTAACTACAGCTGTAGTAACAGGTGTACCAAAGCCTGTTGTAGCAATTGAGCAGGTCAATACAGCTGTAGTAACAGGTGTACCTAAGCCTGTTGTAGCAACTGAACAGGTCAATACAGCTGTAGTAACAGGTGTACCTAAGCCTATTGTAGCAACAGAACAGGTCAATACAGCTGTAGTAACAGGTGTACCTAAGCCTGTTGTAGTACCTGAACAGGTCAATACAGCTGTAGTAACAGGTGTACCTAAGCCTGTTATAGCAACAGAACAAGCCAATACAGCTGTAGTAACAGGCGTACTTAAGACCGTTGTAGCAACAGAACAGGTCAATACAGCTGTAGTAACAGGTGTACCTAAGCCTGTTGTAGCAACAGAACAGGTCACCACAGCAGTTGTCACTCTCATACCCAAACCTGTTGTAGCATCTAGACAGATAAATACAGCTGTAGTAACAGGTGTACCTAAAACTGATAAGGCATCTTTGCAAGTTACTACAGCTGTAGTTGCTGTTATCCCTCAGTATGTTGTGTCACCTACGCAGGTAACTACAACTGTAGTCACTTGTATACCTCAGCCCACTGTAGTGACGCAGGTCACTTCGGCCATCTCCAGAATACCCAAATGCACTACAACTTCATCAGGAATCTCCACTCTGTGTCAGCCTGTCATCCAAACTCAGTCCACCGACATGGCTGTATCTGGGATACCTCGGCCGTCGGGTGATCTAGATGTGGTCAATAAACCCGATAGTAAATCCCATATAGCTTCCATACACAATACCAATGCTGGAGGGTCCACTGTGCCTGAACTCCTTGTAGTTTCCTTGCCAGATACCACAACTAGTGCTTCTTCCGTGCCTCAACCTTCCACACAAACACCTCGCGTAGATGTGGCTCAAGGCATTGCACCTGCCACCATAGGCGTGTTGGATTCTCAAAAGATATCGATGCAAGTTTCTACAGCTGTTATTTCAGGTGTGCCTAAACTTCCTTTGGTTTCTACACAAGCAAATACAGCCATTGTTTCTGGAGTGCCACGTCTTTCAGTAAGGCCAACGACGCAAGTCACGACAGCTAATATTTCTAGCATTCTGAACTCAGTGAAGCATGTTTCACAAGTCATGAAAACTCCCACAGAGATTCAGAAGATTAAAAATTCATCAACAAAGGCAGTAATAGACATTTCTGAACTGCAGAATGATGTTAGTGTGGCAGCCGATATTTTGTTTGGAGATAAAAGAAGTCAAAACCAAATAAATTCTGGCCAGAGCACTGAACATTGTTCTGTTGAGGCAAATAAAACTGCTTCAATATCTACTTTATCACAGCAAAATTTTAACGATGTTATCAAACATGTTGAATTCAAACAACAGACTGCAACAAGACTACTTCACGAACCCTCTCAGATCATGTCAGCTCTTGGGTCTTCCATAAAAGATGGATTACGAAATATGTGTTCTGTGCCTCCTATGAATGAGGGGGGAGTTATAATTAAAGAACTTCCTTCTGCAAATAAAATAAAATTAAGTTCCTCTATTTCAAGTCCAGTAATAGAATCTCAAACACCTGTCAGCACTGCCATATCTGCCCAAGTTGCTCCAGATTATGTAAATATTAATACTAGACCAAATAAAAGTTGGAGTCCAACGCAGTCAGGAATTACAGTTGAAACCCCACCATTTCCATGTGCCTCAAATGATGCTTGTGATGCTCAGACTACATCCTTGGTTAATAGTAGCTGTATGACCAGTGTGCCAGAAACAGATGGGAGTTTTACAGGAAGGGCATCGGATTTGGTCTCTTCTCCACTGATGACGTCAGTTGTGGCACCAACTACCATAAGCCATGCACTGGGTGGACTATCGGATAGTGTGGCTATTAGCCCCAGTAAACCAACAGTTGCTACTCAAACCACGAGTACAGCCCCTACTGTATGTAAATCCACTATGGCTGCTTCTAACAGCCAGCAAGGAACCATTTCAGTTGTGAGAGATAAACTAATTATGAGTGTACAGTGTAAAGAAGCACAAACTAAAGATAGTGACACAGGTAAAAATGGTGTTGCTAGTGGCTCTTCACATTTAAACTATCAGAGGCCAGGAACTCGCCACCTTCTCTGTCAAACTGTACCCACACCAATGCTTACTAAAACAGCCACTGCCCATTTGCCTAAACCTAAATCTTCAGCAAGTTCTAATATGCACCGAATGTTGGTAAAAACGGAAGACAAAAATAAAGATACTAAACCAAACATTCCAGAAAATGTTCCTATTACCCAAAATAATTCAGGTTCTTTTGAAGTATCAACATTATCCACAAATAAATTGCAGAAAGACGATCTAGGATCCGATTTAGTAGATGTGAAGACCGATATAATTGGCTTGACACCATTGGCCAGCAAGAGAGGCCAGCCTCTGAATGGAAGAGAGGATAGTGGGGACAACAACACATCAGACACACCATTTCCAAACCCTGATCCAATTTTTGACCATAAATCAACCACTATCAAGCCATACATTCAGAATGTGTCTCCTGAAAAAAAACCTGTTTTTACATATGAAACCGATTTGTGTAGGCAGAGGGCTACTGATTTAAGTCTTCAAGAAAGTAAAACGTTAAAACTACAGACAGATGATAAGAAGAAAGAAACCATATTCTCTTCCAAAATGTCTTTATCGCCTTCCAAGGAAATAGACTGTAAACAAGATATCAAACCCAGTGATACAATGAAATTAGTGAACATCAAGACTGAGGTTCTTCCAAAAATCAAGACAGAAAAATTGTCCCCTAAGGGAGTAACCAAGCTTTCTTCTCCTTCAATAATGTCTCCAAAAGAAAATCCTCTCTTTAAAGTAAAAACAATAAATGGTCAAGGTGACTTACCCCTAAACAGTGATTCTGTTTCTAAAAAATGTGACTTATCCTCTCCTACAAAAGCTGTGGGCGTTACAGATAGTTCGAAACTGACAAAAAGCATGAAAGATATAAAAAAGCCCCTTTTGGGGTTGTTCAGTGACCAAAGAGTGCCCAAAAATAGTGTAGTTGCATCTAAATCAAAATCAAAAGAGGCTTTTGATAAGAAAATAATTACCTCAACTAATAATCTAAAACGGAAAAATAGTGAGAGCCTCGGGACGGGTGGCAGTAAGGCAGTGTCAAGTACAAAAACGGGTGTACCAGAAGGTGCTTCTAAAGGTCTTGTGGGAAATAAGAACCAAAATGCAAAGTCACAAAAGACAGGCAAACCGCCAAAAAGTTCACCCAGTCGTTCTTCCCCAAATGGAAAATTAAATAGAAAAAAAAGCCTTTTAGCATATTTAAAGGAAAAAAATAACGAAAGTGATACATCCAGTGTCGAGTCAGAAGTAGCTAGTGGAGGACGGAAAAGATCCAGGAGCAAAAAGGAATCCCCAAAATCCAATAGTGCCTCTCCCTTTCCTACATTTCCCTCACTGCCAATAAACGCTGGTACTCGACGCAGAAGTGCGACGGTCCAGAGCAAGTGCAAGTCAACTAAGAAGCCAAAATGGGTTCACAACTGGAACTGGGAAGGTGAACCTTTTGAGGGAAAAATCTGGTTAAGAGTGAGTATTGGTGCATATCACTTTTGTTTTTTAGGGTTAGTTGTTTGCTTCAAAAATATTTGAGACAATCTATCTTGATAAAAATTATGCATTGATAGTTCTGCACCTTAATTATTTTGGAAACTGGCTTATTGAATATATTATACAAATAATTTTCTTATTTGAAATTGCACTATAAGAAATTCTATTATAAGGTGGAACATGTTAAATGTAAAAGGTTTAAAAAATTGAAATAATGATATTTTTGTATAAACTTCATGTTGAATATCGTACTTCAAAACTTGTACAACATTCCTTTATTACTTACACTATATACACATGTTCTTAGATTATGCATTTTATTTTGTATATAAGAACATTTAGAACATAGGAATTAGGAAGCACCACAGCAGGCCCATAATAGGTGGGTCTTGTTTAAATCCACCCCCTCTGTTAGTCCATACTAGGTTGGTTTTATTTAAATCCAGCCCCTCTGTTAGTCCATACTAGGTTGGTTTTATTTAAATCCAGCCCCTCTGGCCAATACTAAACAGCTGTTGTTTAAATCCACCCCCCCCCCCATCTCTGTTGGCACATACTAGGCAGGTCTTGTTTATATCCACTCACTCTTTCAGCCCGTACTAGGCGGGTCAAGTTTAAATACACTTCCACTGTTGACCCCTACTAGGGGTGTCACATTTAAATCCACTCTCTCACCCATATATTTATCCAAAATATTATTTAACCCTGTTAAATAATATACTAGGCCTAGGAAAATTTAGGTTTAGTTTTTGGCCTTTTCTGTCATGCCCTCTTATAAAGTCAATAGTACAAAACGTGAAGTTTGTTGGCTCCTATTCATTTTTGTATATTTGGCCCAATACTTGCTATAGGTACTATAATTTTTGAAGAATGGACTGGGCAGGTTAATATAAGTGCCTCATAAAGCACTACTGAATCCTTGTTTGGCATAATACATGATAGTCAAGTGAAGCTTCACACTTCGCTCGCATGCATAACTAAAACCAGTCATCCATCACCAGGTGACAGCACTGATCTTTGCCCAGGGTTCTGAATCCCAGATTATATCATATTACTCTCGACAGTGTTTACTGAAACATGTTTTCTGTGCATATTTGACTTTCTTATAAATATGTATCTATTTGTTTGCTTCTTGTTTTTGTGATTAGCAAGTTTTTGTTTGATTCTCTGGCACAGGTGTGGGCTCTGCCAGTGGTGCACAGGTGGGCTCACTGCCAGTGGTGCACAGGTGTGGGCTCTGCCAGTGGTGCACAGGTGTGGGCTCACTGCCAGTGGTGCACAGGTGTGGGCTCTGCCAGTGGTGCACAGGTGGGCTCACTGCTAGTGGTGCACAGGTGTGGGCTCTGCCAGTGGTGCACAGGTGTGGGCTCACTGCCAGTGGTGCACAGGTGTGGGCTCACTGCCAGTGGTGCACAGGTGTGGGCTCACTGCCAGTGGTGCACAGGTGTGGGCTCACTGCCAGTAGTGCACAGGTGTGGGCTCACTGCCAGTAGTGCACAGGTGTGGGCTCACTGCCAGTAGTGCACAGGTGGTATATTATTCTGGGAAGAGCCTCGGCGGCTCCTCGGAGCTATCCAGGCTGAAGGATATGTATATCTTTCTGGCAACAGTCAATGCATGGAGTTCTTGCCTACTGGGGACCACGAGCCAAAACCTGGCCCCCGCTCTAGAGAGGCACAAGGAGCAATGGCCTATAGAGACCCCCCCCCCCTGTGATTGGGAGCATTCTATGTCTGCCATTGACCGGGACAGGCACCCAGAAAGGTAGGCACCCCAAAACAAACCCCTATTCTGGTAAAAGTATTGCGACTGAAAGCCGAACAGGTGGACAGAACTCCCCAAACGAAAATTACCAAACTAGCATGATGTCATCATGTCGCCGCGCCGCTGTCTGCACAACCCCTCCCTTCCCGGGAAGGGGAAGAGGGAGCCCCAGACCCATTCGCTGGCGACCCAACCTACAGTTCTTGGCTAATGGAAGTCTGGTGTGGTTGTACCTCTGGCTCCGGTTTTTGTTTCAGTTCTGTGCCTTGTGGTGTGGGCTGTCTCTACAGGTGGTGTGTGAGCCGGGAGACACATTCCACGGTACTAGGGCTGCATGTGCCTAGGGTTTCCCTTCTCTAGGTGCCCTGTAAGTACTGTCCTTGGGGCTTGGGGCCTCCTTCCACAAGTCACCTCGGGATCTACCTCTGCTGTGCCGCTTACTGCTCGGTACTTGGCCGCCCTTGGGGTCAGCTGGGGTTTTTCTTACCCTTGTTTGTCTCTGGGTAGGGGGTACTTTTCGTCACTGGTAGGGGTGCGGGGTACTGCACAGCTAGTTTTCACCTATGACAGCAGCTGGCTCTGTTCTGCCTGGGTACGTTGTCCTCTTGCGTGGTTTTTCTTTTGTTTTTGTTTTCTGCCTGGCGGGGGTACTGTCTGGCACAGTGGATTCTTATCTTAAGGAGCAACCAAAAGGCTGGGTCCAGAAAGGTGTTTTTCATATTGACCCAAAGCTGTACTTAGATACGTGTTTTTATAATCTGATACAGTCCTCCTACAGGTCAGTGTTATGCATGGTAGAATGTATGCATTTTTATTTCAAACTTGTAGGGTTTTATAGTAACATAGGTATAAGCTAGCAATGTAACAGGCATAAGTGAGCTATGTAACTTAGGCATGATTGAGGTATGTAAGAAGAATAAGTGAGCAATGTAACAGGCATAAGTGAGCTACAGGGTATTGCATTACTGTATAATTAATTGTTCCATGACTTTGCATTATCAATTTCTCTCATTTGATGTACAGTGAAACCTTATGAAACATTCTTATAATATATTATTAAACTTTTACTGAACTTTTAAATACTGTACAGTACCTTAAATATTGTATACTGTATTTTTCTTTGTTGGAGGATTCATGTCTTAGCCTACCTTGACAACTGGCTGCTTTGGGTTTCTGGTGAATTGGCAAAAGTCCCAGTTAGTTCCGTTCCAGGTTAAGACCTGGTTGGGCCTGGTATTGAATTCTCGGTTGACTTCCTTTTCCCTTCCACATGCAGTCCTGCTATGCTTGAACAGGCATCTCCAGCTGGTGGTGGTGGAGAGTCCCCAAGTTGTGCATCATTATACTGTATTGAGTAGCTGTACTGGAGCCTGAATTTTGCCTACATGAGTTATCCTCTAAAGTCTTCTGGATTCTCAGGGTTTGGCTATCCATGCAATTCACACTCAGGGTGTATCCAATGCTCTAGCAGACTGTTTCTTCCATTTCCATCCCAGTGACACAGAATGGATCATCAAAAATGTATTCTTCCAATTGGCTTTGTGGGATATTCAGTTGCCAGAGATGGACCTCTTCATGTCTGTATAGAACTGTTGGATTCTCATGCCAAATACTCTTGCCTCATATCATTCAGCCTCAGCAGAGCTGCTGTTGTTGGCATTCAGTGTTGACATTTTGTCAATGCTATTTTGTAAGTTGGTGCCATTTTTGGTGCCATTGACCTGTGATTTTGTTTCCTCTCGAATCTAATCATTTATTTCTTCTAGGTTTTTGGTTGCCCCTTCAGTTTGGGATTTTTTAAGCCCTTCCTTCACTCTTTAGAGTTGGAGAGCTTCGTGCTCTCCTTTAGAAGTGAGGGTTTTGTTTTATAAGTCCTGGTGAGCATTTTCTTCATTTGCAGCCACTGTAAGAGCCCTTGAAGAAAACCAGCATTGAATGTAATAAAATGCCTCCTGGTGGGATCTTGGTAGCTTTTTGGACCCTCCTGTTATTTTCTAGGGGCATTGACTTTGGCTGGCTCAGTGACAGGTGACTTGCCTGAACTGAGCTGGTAGCTGGGGGAGTGCTGCCACCTGGTGGTGGGCAATTGCTACCACAAGGTGAACTGCCTAACTACCAGGTGCATTGTTTTCTGTGTTTAGTTTTTTGCATTTCCTCAGTTTCCTGCTCCTGTATAATGGGCTTTGGGTGTCCAAATGGAGTGGAGCTATCCAAGTTGCTAGCAACAGGGATCCATGGAGGACCCATTAGAAAGAGGCTTTTCATTGCATTCATTGTTTTTTTAAATACAGTACAGTACTACTATTTAACACTTTCGCGCTCTCCGCAAAGGTCACTCAGCCAACTGAATGTGCGCGCTGCGTTTTTATCGCTTAAGCGTAAAAACAAAAATGTGTATACTCTTTTTACTCTTCTGACCTTAGTTCTCATGCTACGTATTTCATTTTGGTACCAACGTGTTCGCAATAAAATTCTCTAGAAGAACATTAGTAAAATAAGTCACGAAACATATAGGGATACCAGCACCAAATAAATAACTACGTAGATGACTCGCCGTGAGCGCCCATCAGCAACAAAATGTTTTTACTCTTGGGATTGTAATCACCTCCACACTTGTTCTACAGCGTTAATTTTGGTATCAATGGACTCGCAATGAAATTCCCAACACGGTGATATGAATATAAGCGTAGAATAATGATGCAGCCCGCCCGCAAGAGTGTGGGAAGTGGTGAAATTGTTACCCGGTATCGGTGACGGGACGACGCACGGCGCTTTGAAAGTTTATACTTATTTCACTCTCATGACATTAATTTTCTATGTACGTCATTCATTTTTATGTCAATGTGTTCGCAATAGAATGTTCTATGTGCCCATAGGTAAAAAATATCAACAAAGCGTAAGTTAGAATAGCGACAAATATAAAACAACGCTGGAACATATCAGTGAGCGTCAAACACACACGAAATATTTTTACTTTTGTTATGTTTGTCAAGATTATACTTGTTGCACACAGTTATTTTTGGTTGTATATTGATCGGAATAAAATTCCCTAAACAGACATATGCATATAATACATGATATGGGGGAAGAATTACCAGTATAAACGGCTAAAGTCACCCACCTGCAACCCGTTTGGGACAAAATACCATTTGATCGAAGTTATCCACACCTTTCATGAACTTATTGTACCATGCAGCCTAGTGGTGAGAAAGAGA